AATATTATAACCTATAAATAAGGATAATAGCTAAATAACTTATTTAAGCGTTAGGTAACTAAGATAGGATATTTATACTACTAGATTATAGGAATAATAGGGACTTATTTAGGGATAAAAAAACTATAGTATAAGTTATATAATAATAAGATAATAATTATATTAGATTAATATAATCTAATATAACTTAGGGGTTAAATAATTATTTTAGATTAGAATAATTTAAAATAACTTAAAGTATAAAAGAATATATTTAGAATTAAACTTATATATAGTATAACCTTAAACTTAGTTTATAGTTAAACTTCTATAGCTTTTTAGTAATTAACTTAATATTTATCCTTAGGATACTCTTAGCTTATTTTTACTATAAATTACTTATTAAGTTTAAAACTAATTACCTTAGCTTCTAAAGACCTGATCTACTATAGCTTATAACCTTTAACCTAGATTATAACTTAGTGTACTATTAGAACGTATTAATCCCCAGCTTCTATTAGTAGACCCTACTATTAGAAAGCTAACTGTAATAATAAGTTAGAAAACTAGAGAAAGTCTATAGTAATTAAACTTAATTAAAGTTATAAAGTTATTATTAAAGTAATATTAAAGGTAATAAGATTATCTAATAGATAGCGCACCTAAGCGTGTATAGGGGAAATAAGGCTAAAGCTAGAGATAGCGATTTATAGGACTATCTAGCTAAGCAGAAATCTAAGGCGATCACATGACCAGTAAGCCGTTAGCTGAAGGGTGAAGTCAGAGGTCGTTGCAGTACAGGTTCCAGGTAAAAGTCACAGTAGCTGGCCAGAGGCCACATCGTCCACCATATATGTACGAACCTTGAGAAATTTGCTGCCGATGCCATATATGGTAAACATGGCGGACGGATCCGAGATATCAACGACGTTCGGGGCAGTCCGTACGATTAGTCCATGCTTTGCATGGAGCTCGCGGTATCGTTCATGAGCCTTTCCATTCCACACGAACATCATTCTCCAAATAGGGCTATATCTAGCAACCCACGGGCCTGGTATCTGACGAAGGCCTGGACGGAAGGCTCGGAGTATCGAGATGGCGACAATATACAAGATAAATGCCCCAAGAAGGGCCATGTACTTGCTGTTGAAGAAGCTCATGGTGGAAATAGGCGCTCGCCACTGGAAATTATGTAAAGATGTAGGCTCGGATGGCATATTGTGGCTCGGGTGAGACCCGAAGAGAATACGCAACAGCTGAAATCACAAAGAGCCCAAAAGCTTGAATTCCAAGATGTCAGTGCTTTAGGACATCAGGCAGCGGCCCTTCGGCGTGGTTATGACTATTCCTGAATTGGCTTGCTTGCCTCCTCGTTGTATTCATGTGCTTGAGATGTTCCGGTGGAGTCGGACAAACTCATGAGATCCATGAGTGCTGTCTGTGGTCCAAAGGACAATCGGAAAGATGTGAAAACGCCGGCGTCCATGAGCCACCCCGCAGTGAACGCATGAGCCTCCAATTACAGTTTGGCGGTGTTCTAGGTTCTATCTAAAGTTGTACCGATAGCTTCCAATGAAAAATTGCACATCATTCAATCAACTTGACTGATTGGACTGATCATTTGGATACCTAGATATGGTCTAGTACCACGATCGGAGACTTTAGGCTACTTGAGGCAGTCGAAGCGGGGCAGGCCAGGAGCGACCGGTAATTCTTGTCAATTGTAGGGATGGGCGGGAGGAGGGCGTAGTTAGTCTTAACTCCCCGCTGCCAAATGGCAGCCAATATACAAGTGTTAAAATTTTTGTCAAATGTGACGTCTCGCATTCCGCTTGAGTCTGTGGTGTTTCGCCCGTCAAGAGCTCAGCTTCCCCCGGAAACTGTGTTGGTCGTCAAGATGCTATTGCTGGGATGGTCTGGCCCCAGCATGGCAAATTGTCATACTGCGACTGAAACTATCATCAAGTCCACATCCCGTGAAACTCCGAAAATTACCCAAATCATCCAAGAAACATTAATTCATACCTCATCGACGCAAGGTGATCATCCATGTAGTCAGATAATGTCTTGAGTCTTGAGTGCACCAGGAAGAATCCTGCCCCAGACCCACCAACATGACCGAAACCGGGGAGGGATGGTTGGCTAAAGAAGCCCCTGTTCTAGCACTCAAAGGTCCCCACGCTGGGAGGTTACCCCAGACTTTCCAACTTCCCGGAAACAACCCCCTTCAACCCAGGCATTCGTCATCGCAGACAAGCCCCCTCGAGCAACTGCTAGGACAACATGAGTTGATCCTCTACACAGACAAGAGAGGCAAGGGTTGCATTCAATGCCACCGGCATCCGCCAGCCGGACCGGCGCGTGCCAGCGCTGTCACCGCAGAAAGGTTCGGTGCGACCGTACAAGACCATCATGCGCGCCGTGTGCCAGGATCAACGCGCAATGCACGTATGCCGCACGGGAGCACCAGATTGAGCTACGACGCCAGGATGTCGAGAGACTTGAGCAAAAGATACGAGACCTCCAAGCAGAGAATGACGAGCTATCCGGTAAACTGGCCGAGGCTCAGCAACAGCAGCCCCAGCAGCACCAGGAGCGAGCAAGTAGCGGAGACAGGCTGGTAACCCCTGCCACCTCATCAAGCCTCGGTCTGCACACCGAGGAGCAACGAGCCCCTGCTGGCAGCAACGAAATCGCCAGTCAGGTTATCCATCTGTCACTCAGTGCTGGGGGAGGGAGAGACTTCGTCGGATCCACAAGTGGACTTTTCCTCGCCAATCTACTTCAATCGCACAGCCAACCTGCCGCGCCGTCTCAACTCATAGGCGGCCAACCTCCGGGATTCACATCGAACAGCGATGGCACAACAGGAAGCTTGATCCTCAACGCCGCTTCGAGCCTGCCACCAAGGGCCATGGCGACAGAGATAGTGAAGGCGTATTGTGGCCATGATCGACTCTGTTACCCCTTCCTGTCTCCAAAGGCGCTCGACAAGGCGCTGGATGTTGTTTATGAGGCAAGGAGTTCCGACTCGATCAATCCTGTTGACGGCTTCCTTGTCGATATGACCCTTGCGATCGGCACGGCACAAGTTTACAAACTCAATTGGAATGGTATCTGGGACGCCGAGGTCCATTACAATCGAGCCCTGACGCGTCTAGTTGATGTTCTCGGTCAGGGCGGGATTACGGCGCTTCAGGCACTGCTTCTCATCTGCCAGTACAGGATGGGCACCACGTCCCATGATACGAGCACCAATGTCTGGCATCTCATCGGAGTGGCAGCGCGGACATGCTTCGAACTTGGCTTACACAAGTCGTCGACTTACACCTTACCTCGAGACGGAGATGAGACGGAAATCGAGGCAAGACAGGAAGATTTGGAGATCAAGCGAAGATGCTTCTGGAGCGTGGTATCCATGGATCGCATTGCCAGCATGATTCTTGGGCGACCACTCGCGATACAGCTGGACGACATCGACGCCGAGCTTCCTCACTCGGAGTCGATTCCGACCAGTGCACCACTTGATGGTCACTTGTCTACAGCGCTATTTGGAACCCCAGAGTGGCATCCAGGCACAGTCATATTCGTCCATATCGTGCAATACCGACTTATCTGCGGAAAAATTCTTAATTCACTGCACCGAAGCACGATCAACAGAGAAAGCAACACCACATACGAGACTACCCGAGAGGCTTTAGCCGAGGAGCTCCAAACATGGCGTGCGGGGACTTCTAGCCTCCCGCTCATTCCCGCCGACGCACCCCTAGCATCTCCGGCTGGCAGGTCTAGTTTCCGTTCAGCGGAATGGTACGAGCTGCTGTACCACAACGGCATTCTCATGCTATTCCGACCGTCCCCCTCCATATGCGACGCCTCCAGAAACAGCAACGTTTTGCAGCACATGTTCGACTCGTCACAAGAAGCAATCAAGCTATACGCCAACTTACATCGATCCAGAAAGATCAATTACTCCTGGGTCACTCTTCATTCCATATTCATTGCCGGCCTCTCTTATATCTATGCCCTACGAAACCACATTCAGCACATCCAGAACCGGTCTCAAGGCAGTGGAAACGTCGCCAATGCAACCCTCAGTTCGACTCCGTCCATCAGTCAGGTCGTCAACGATACTCGTGCCTGCTCTAAGGTGTTGGTCGCTCTCTCAGAAAGATGGACTATGGCACGCAACTCCTCTGAATTGTTTGACCGCCTGAGTGACGCGGTTGTAGCGGACGTTGTGGAAGCCCAAAATGGGCAGACAATTGCAACGAGTATGTCATTCGCCAGTCAGCCCGCAGATGTTGGCCACACATCCCAGCCCGTGGACATGAATCTCACAGACGCCATGTATGGGCACGAGACAAACCAGAACTTTGTCAACATGACGGTGGATGATACGCTACGCGACTGCTTCGGGGACCTGCAGAGCATCTACTACGATCAGTACCATAGTGATGCGATCGCTCAGCTGTCACAAGAGTGGCTCTTTGGATTAGGGGAAGCTCCAAGTCGGTACTTCTGAGGCTAACAAACAACAAAATGCCGCGGTAGCCATACAATAATACATTCTAATGCTCTATGTACATGCTTGTTGGAGTTTTATAGCCCACCCTAGGACAAGCCACACAATAAGGGAGTCGAGTAAGAGCACTTCAGCGGGTGCTTCGTCCAGCAAGGGAATCGCAGTATAGGTGTCCAGGGATCCGGAACAACAAACCGGGCCGACCTCGCCATGTGCCTAGCTTTGCTCAATTTGCCTTCACGAGACACCTGTGAGAAGCCGGTTTCAGGAGAAAATACATTTCTGGTTCCATATCATCGTCCGTGAAGCCTTCCTCGGACGACATTGTTGCTTCAGGAAAAGCAAGAAAGAAATGGACTGCAGCGAGCCGCAACTCCATTCGTGCGAGGTGAACCCCCAAGCAAACTGGAGCAGGTTAGACCTAGCACTGAGAACTGGACGCAATATGACGGATGCTTACCACGACTACCCCCGCCAAAAGTGAGCAGTGCGTCTTTCATTGCCTTCGTTGCATGTTCCCATCGTCCGGGGTCAAATTTGAGCGGATTCGGGAATACTCTGGGGTCACGATGCAAGCTCCAAGCTTGCGTACTGACAATGGTATCAGCTGGAAGGTAATAGCCACCGAGTTCCGCACCGCCAGACGGGACGAGCCGGGGCAAACCAGCCGGTGCAGCGGGGTAGAGGCGCAGTGTCTCCTCGATAACGTATCCGAGGTATTCGAGGCTTTTGACTTGTTCGTAATTGAAGTTTGAGGGTAGGCTTCGCAACTCTGCCACGAGGATGTCCCTAACCTCTGGATGACGACAAAGCAACCAAACAAGGTAAGTCAAAGAATTTGCCTTCATAATTGTTAGCTGTTGGCATTCATCGAATTCCTGGAATGTGGCACTTGCGGTGGTGTCTGAGCCTGCAACGATGTAGCCTACGGCGTTGTCACGCACTTCAATAAAGCTGAGATTCCCACCGCTCACTTGGTCATATAGCTTGGAAAACAGTGTACTGTTCATCTCATCGCCTTTGTCTTGCGCCAGCTTCTGGTGACGCTTGATAGACTGGTCAGCATAACCAATGAGTCTCTCCTGATTGGCGACAGCGTCGCTTATCACCGGTATATTCACCAGTTTCGATAACTGGAGCAGGAAGGGAAAGGTGACCCGGACTCCTCCGGCCTGGGCCACGCTCTGCATGTCTTTGATGTATTGGTTTTCCTAATAAGTAGTCAGCATAAATGGCCTCGTACGTATCGGATCTACCAGACCTCTCCAGTCTCCAACATCCGGAAGGATTCACCGAAGCTGAGCTCGCCGATGATGTCAGTGGCCATTGAGAGGAACCAATGATACACGTCCTTTCAAAGAAAGTCAGTACACATATCGGTAGAATTGAGCGAAAACCTTACCGTGTAGTCATTCTTCTCCATGTCGTCCCGCATGCGATTCAGTGCCAATCGAATGTTTGATTCGACCACGGGGACGTGTTTCTGAAGCGCAGATTCGGCCATCTCGGACGATAGAAGACGTCGCTGGCGTTTATGGACGTCAAGATTCCGAGTGGTGAAAACATTGACAACTCCAGTGATCAATTTATCGTAGAGGTCGGCCTTCAAGTACTCGCCTTTGATGCGATGTATGATTTGGGCGGCGGCTGGGTCTTGGAAGCTTGCCTCACTTGGACCCAAACGAACCGCGGGACCTGTCGATGTTTAGCTAATGGACCTGACAATGCGTCGCGAAGACTGACCGTATTGCAGATGCAATTGATGGATCCAATGGGGTCCTCGTCCCCTGGCAACTTCGTATCGTAATCGAAGGTCTGAAATTATCGTATGCCAAGGTCCAGGTAGGTTTGCCATTGGGCTCCTCAAAGAATTCAACAGCTTCTATCTAGGTTTAGCGACTTCTTTCAATTCTCATAGACAGGCGAACTTACCCACGCGACCGCACCTCCGATGACTACCATTAGGGCAATTGCGGCTTCCAGCAAACGGAAGTCCATGTTGACCTTGTCTTAGGGTGTTGAGTTAGGTAATTTTCTTCTCACCGTGCTATTCCGATATAATGAGCATCCATTTCCCGTGTAATCTGGCTATTGTCATTTATTATATGTGCCATGTTCATGATGGCAAAGAACAGTGCGGGCTTTGGTGGTGATCTTTCTTTTAATTAGACTTTCAGGCACCGGCCGGGCGAATTACGGACATCTTCGGCACACCGACAGCCGTGAGAGTAACCCATCGATTTGTCCGGTATCTCGGCTGTGCTGATCCACTGGGGAAGTCTGAAACTGGGCACCCTGGTGAGCAAAATTGTCCGGGAGAATGTTAACGACATGACGCAGAAGCCTCGGCCAAGAGATTACGTACAGTGAAGGTCACCGTGAGGGCTTTAACCTCCGTTCACATACACTCGGTGGGAATTGTGAGGGTTAACGTGAGGACCTTCACCTCTGTTGACGTATGGGCGGTGGGCCTACTTCTATCGCTAGTTCCTTGGCCTTACTATGGAGTGAGCATAGTTTGAAGTCGCTGACTCATAATTCAAGAACCAATTGTGGAATTATTTTGAGACTAATGAATGTTATTTGCAGTCTGAATCATGAACTTCTGATGTTATTGTCGCTGAAACTGGCGGTTCACGAGCCAATGATATAGATCTTGTCGCCGGATTCTATTCTCTTATGTAAAAGTTTCATGACGATGGTGGCTTATCTAGGTAGATGCGGATGATAAACCCTGAGATTACGACCTGCCCAACTGAAAGTTGAGTGCAAAGCTCGAGACCGCCTAATCTTCCTGTGTCTTGATTCCTCCTATCGAAAGCAATAGTATTCATAGCGATGATAAGGACGGGGATGATGATAAGGACAAGTAAACAATAATAACAATAACAATAGAAGCGACGACGACGATAATAACGACGATGACGACGATGACAACGACGATAACGACGACGATAGTAAAGTGATTAGATTATAGTCACAGGAAATATAGTCGCTCTAGCACAGGAAAAATAGGCGGTCGCCAAAGCTCCTGCCCAGTGACTCCAGCGGAGTAGTCGCCGCTTTAGATTATAGGACACTTTAAGTCGGCACTTCTGAGGTCGAACGACAGCAGTATGCCATGATTGAATAGCTTTTTAACATAATACAATCTGATAACCTATATCCCTCTTTATATCCTTCCTCGCTGAAGGAAAGCCTTAGGAATATCGACATATCTACTTCGTAAGTACTCCGCGATTCCCTTCCCCAACCCATCGATTCTATCTGAAGAGGCGATGCCGCCGTTCAGGTTATCCAAAATGCGGCTTAACGTCTATCAGCTCTTTGTTGATATTAATGATGAAGAATTACTCACAAGTGCACGGCGTTAATGCCGGGGAACTCGACACGTTCCACCCGCCTGTTAGGATTGATCTTATACCAATCATCACCGAGCAGCTGTTTCAATCGCGACACGGTCAACAATGACCGCAGCCACGCATATTCATCTTCATGTCGCACGAAGAAACCGATGTTGGAGTTGTCGGCCTTGTCGCCAGACCGAGCATGGACGATGCTACCCAAGGGAACAAACTCTGTCGGACCCAGAGATGTCAGGTCGACGGGTTCGGCGGTGTCGGCTGATGGCCGGACAACCTTGTAATCGGCCGTTTCTTTCGGTGATGGGACTGGTATCAACTCTCCGGTCCCCAACAGAACACGATGGTCGATGGCCGACTGCGGTATCAGCGCAGGGAACATCTCCATGAACGGTTTCGGATCCATCGTCCGGAAGTCGAGAGACATATGGTACCCCGGATAGCTCTGCATCCTCACAGCGTAAATGGGGATTTTGAACTTCACCGCTGCGATGTCCTCCTTTGTCCTGGCTTGCGCAAACACCCGAAGCTGAACTGTCCCCGCCTGCTGTGAGCTGGGATTCTGCACCTGAGTACCGTACTGCTCCATGCTTAGTCGGCTGAAGTTACTGTCTTTGAACATGTGGGTCAGCTGACACTTCATCATGGTCACCTTCTCATCAACATCCAAACCGTTGATGTAGAAGGTGGCCTCAGCTTGATAACCTCCCTCCGCCGCGAACATTACTTTCGTCGTTGGTGGAGGCGGCAGGCCCTTCACACCCCAAACCCGTACTCTATCTTCCCCAAAGCCTGTCTGCTCCTCAACTTGAACCCCAGAGAGATCTCCTACCACATCCGGGTTGAGATAGAGATGCCCCTGGAGCTCATAGAGCAACTGCGCCGTTACTGTGTGCTTGGTGACATGGCCGCCGCCTTCGGCAGTCCTGCTTATGACGCATTCGCCGTCTCGACTGATCTCAGCAATGGGGAACGCCAAGTCTACGAGCTCAGGAAGGAACTCCTTGAAGCCGGAGAAGTTCGCGCCCACGACGTACGGTCCGCACTCAATCAGATGAGCGGCCAGCAGTGCGCCGGCCAGCTCTTGGTACTGATCTTCTCGCCAACCGTAGTACCACGCAGCAGCACCCATCACCGGCGACGCGTCCGTACACCTTCCAGCAACGACGATGCGCGCGCCAGCTCTTAGTGCCTCGACGATTCCCCAGCAGCCAATGTAAGCATTGCCGCAACAGGGCTTGAACCCCCAGTCGTCGAGGGTGATCTCGGGGTGGTCGAGATGAGGAAACCTCAAGTCTTGGCTGGTATCTTCGAGAAGACCAGACACATCATCGCCGAGAACCGCCGCGACAACACTCTCGGGATACCCTTTCCTCCTGCACAGCGCCTTAATCTTCTCGAAGAGCGCCGTGGTGTTCAACGCGCCAGCGTTTGTCACCACTCTTATGTCCCTCGTCATTATATCATCGATGCAGGCTTCGAGCTGCTCGTAAAAGCCGTTTTCGTATCCGAGATTCGGGTCGACGTCGCGTTTGGCGATGGCGTTCCAGGCGATGTTCATCTCTGAGAGCCAGTCGCCGGTGATGACTTGGACATTCCCTGAGCGCACCATGCGCGCCATCGCGTGTGGATGGTCTCCTGTCGCGCCGGAGACATTTCCGATTCGGATTGGAGGTTTTTCGATCATGGTGTATACGAAGATGTGGGTAAGAACAAGATGTAGGATGAACAACAGATGGGTCAAGCTCTACGGCTGAAGCAGCATCAATGGTGCTTTGATATGTGTTGCTCCAATACTGCAACATGGTATCAACTACGGATATCTTCGGATCTTCGTACAGACGACAAGGAAGATTAAGGGACCAAAGTCCACTTCACCACTCTCACATGCGGCCGATTGCGGACTGAAGACCGAGCCAAGCAACGCACAAGCGCCATCGGACAGATTCCGATTGCTAATTGCTTGGGAATACCCTAAGATGCGGCTCATGAGATGCATATCCGGGGCATTTGCCGCGAGACCTTGCGTCAGTCTCATCCTTTTCATCAGCCTGCAAACACCCAAGTTTCTACACAAAGCGGCGTGAGACGCCGAGACAGCGGCGCGGCCCCGAGGCCGAAAACCACTCCACAATTGTCTCTTCCAGCCCCCCAACATTTTGCCATTCAGCAACCGGCAAATGCACCAAGCATGTCTTTCCATTGCAACACGATTGGGCCGGTCGCGGAGACGCGGATAAGGAATTGCGCCTCTGGTCCACCTCCAGTGTCCCGATCCACCGGAACTGCGGGGGATGAGGGGGCAATTTGGGGGAACGGCGCCTGGGCAGTGATCCTCTGGCGCGTTGGAGGGAGGTGACCGCTCCTTGTTTCTGTGCCTCCTCTTCGGCCTTCGGCGCCGCAGGCCGAGGCGACGGCTTATCGACTTCCCAACACCTATCTACCGTCACTTTGGAGCAAGAATCCCCACCGAGTGCATGCGTGTGTTGCATTTCTCTCCACACAGATATCTCGAGCCAAGAATGCCAAATCCGGGGTTGTTTGCGGGGAAGAGCTCCCCGGTGTTTGGAGATCAAATACAGGCGCTCTCCTTCGTCGGCTTTGGGATGCGACGTTGTCTTGCCATCTGTAGCTCTTGAGCTTTTCTTTCTAGCTTGAAAGTTGTCATTGACGTAGCCTGCGACGGAGATGGCGACCTCTACAGACCCGAGGCCAGAGAGCCATGTCGAGCAGCCGGTCGCTGACATTGAGAAGCAACAAGTCCTGCACCAGGAGCACTCTCATGTCGTAGACGATGACAAGACAGTTGCACCAGCAGTTGATTACTCTGGAGCCACAGCAAAGACGGATCCCGAAGAGATCAAGCTCGTCAAGAAATTGGATCTCTGGGTTATGGTCAGTCAACGCACCCTCACACGCTTCAACTTGTAATCTAACAGAAGCATAGCCGACTCTTTGGTTGATGTATTGGCTCAAGTAGGTCAACCTCTACCACCCTTTCATTTTTTTCGCCTAACAGCTAAGCTACCTTGACCGTAATGCAATCGCGCTTGCTCGCCTGAACGGCCTCGAAAAGCAGCTCGGTCTCTCAAGCGTCCAGTACTCAACATCCGTCTCTATCCTGTTCGTCGGCTACATCCTCGGCCAGATTCCCAGCAATATGGTTCTTACGCGCGTTCGGCCATCACTGTACATGGGCGGCTTCATGATGGCTTGGGCCGTTGTTAGCGCTCTAACAGCCGTCGTCCACGATTACAAGGGTCTTGTCCTGACGCGATTCTTCCTCGGCGTTGTAGAGGCTCCCTACTATCCGGGAGCTTTATATATCTTGTCCATCTTCTACACGCGGAAAGAGTTGGCAACCCGAATCAGCGTGCTTTATTCCGGAAATATCCTAGCAACGGCCTTCGCTGGCCTGATTGCGGCAGGGGTTTTCAATGGCATGGATGGCACCGCCGGGCTCGCCGCCTGGCGCTGGCTCTTTATCCTTCAAGGCGCTGTGACGTTCGCGATCGCAATGGTGGCGTGCTTCACCCTTCCCGATGAGCCCCTGACGACCCGCTGGCTGACCCCTGAACAACGACAACTTGCCCACGACAGAATCGCGCGGGATACCGTGGGTGTACGCCTGCAGAGCAGCACCTGGGGCGGCCTTAAAGAAGCCTTCGTCGATCCGAAGGTGTGGGTGTTCATCTACATGCAGCACATGCACCTCGCCACGAACGGCTTCAAGAACTTCTTCCCCACCATCGTCGAGACGCTCAACTTCAACACCACGATCACCCTTGTTCTTACCTGCCCACCTTACCTCATTGCTGGCGTTTTGTCCGTCGTCTGGGCTTGGAGCTCTGGGAAGCACAACGAGCGCACTTGGCATATAACCATTTCCAAGGCCGTTGCACTATTCGGCTTTGTCTTGGCCTGTGCCACGATGAACACTGGAGCACGCTACTTCGCGATGGTGGTCTTCACAGTGGGCACGTACGGAGTGAACAGCATTTTGCTGGGTTGGGTTGGAAGCACGTGCGGGCAAACGAAGGAGAAGAAGGCTTCGGCGTTGGCCATCGTCAACACGAGCGCAAGCATCAGCTTCATCTGGACTCCGGTAAGCATTATCCTTAGTAACAGACAGAAGATGTCGTCCACTGACACCATGGCTTTAGTACTTGTGGCCAACATCTGACGCTCCGAGATATGTCATTCCGATGGCCAGCAGTGCTGCCTTCTGTGTAGCTTGCGTTGCTGGAGCATGGCTTATGAAGTGGATGCTCGTAAGGGAGAACAGAAAGATTCGGGCCACAGACCAAGAGGCGAGGCTGTTTTATGCTTATTGATGCTGAGGCAAGAGGCGGTATCTGTTGAGAAAATCAACCGTTCGGTGGTGGGTGGGGCATATATGTCAAATAGCAGTGCATAGTAAACCGGCTATGATTTGAATCTAAATTGGGAGTGAGAGACGTTGCTTTTTCCGCATTTTTTTGGTCTATAGCGCTCATGGTACTCGTTCAAAACTCCTCAGTAATCCTCATCCATAGTGCCACCTTTCTATCTACCCAGGAGTTGAGTTGCTCTAGTCCGGAGTTGCTAGGTCATTTCCAGACCAACAGCTTAGTATTGGTCTCGTCAAACAAGCAGCAAGCTCTTGCTATCATCACAGGAGTGGCACTAAAATAGGCTTCAAATTACCTATGCTATGGATACCCACGGGTACCTATCTAAATAGGTTAGGTTATAGGTATACCTAGAATATAGGTAGATAGGTTTGCTAGGTATGTAGGTAGATATTAATATAGGTATAAGTAGAGATTCTACTTATACCTATAGGTTAAGGGTATATACCTTCTAATAGATATAATAAGGTATTATACTAACTATTCTATTAATTATATAAAATTTATTTTGCTAGTAATATAAGTTATTTATTTTAAAATAAGTAAGTTTACGTTATAATAATTATTATAATAATCTTATAAAAATTATTTCTATATTTAAATACTCTTTATATAATATAGTTATACTCTTATTACTAAATTCTTAAGATAATCTATTTAAACTAAGCTATTCTTTACTATATAGTCTTATAACTATCTTATCTTATTATTATTAATTAAATTTTAGTCTTAGTTTTATTCTTATTAATTTAAGAATAGTTATTTATTTACTTTTAAAGAGTATTATAAAATACTAAATTATTAGTATTAAGCTAATATATAGTATCCTCTATTACTTTTTTAAAAGTATTTATTAACTTAGTATTAGAACTTTCCTTATTAAAGATTTTAAGATGCTTAAAATCCTTAAGATTATAGCTATATCTAGTAGCCTCTTCTCTACTATTATTACTTATTATATTACTACTAAAGAGATTTTCCTTATAGCTAGTAGAAGCCTTAAGGTTTTTATTATAGTTATTAGTAGCTATAGTATTTTGCTTTAGATTATTAGTAGCCCTAGTATTTCCTGTAAAGATATTACTATATTAGGCGTTTTCCTTAGCAGTATTAGAAATATAAGGATTTCTAGTAGAGATATTATTAAGCTTAATATCTTTAAGCTAATTATTAGTATAGGGTAACTATATAGGAGTATCGTCTGAAATTATGTTACTTTTATAATTAAAGCTAATAGTAGAAATTAAGTCTTTATAGTTAGTTCTTCTCTTTTTCTTTAGCTTTATTATAGCTTCTCTTATTATAGCTTTCTTTCTCTTTTTTATAATATCTTACTTCTTTTTATTACCCTTCTTAGAAAGTGTTATCTTATTTATTTATTTAGATAGAATAGTAAGATTTAGCTTTAGGGTATTATAGATTATAGAGTAGAATTAAGTATATATAATATCTTTCTACTTCTACTTAATTTTATTATAATAAACTAAATAAATATAAGTAGAATAAAATAATAGAATAGGAATAGAATTTAGTATTTTTCTAGGTGTTATTAAGCTATAAATATTTTATATTTTAGGATATTATATAAATCTTCTTAATAAAGTTAATATTTATAGGTTTAATAGTAACTCTCTTAGTATAGATTGCTATATATAGAGATATTAGAAATAAGTTAGTAAAAAAATAGAAAGTGAATAGATAAATATATTTTTAAATATAGTTATTAAGGTTACTTTAGTAGCTTTTTAAAGAGCTGCTATAGCTATAGCTTACTAATAAGATAGACTAAATATACTGACTTTATTATATATGATTTTTTTAATAAAGTGTTAGAAGGGTACCTTAGGGATAAGGGTGCTATAGGAGGCCTAGTATTAATAAATTTCTTATAAAGTGTAACCTAAAGGATATTAGTATTATAATAACTAAAATGAATTATAATAATCTAACTTATGTTTAGGCTTATAGTAGTGGGTAGGTATGTGCTTTTCTATAATATAGGTAGGGATTTTGCAGGTAGGCTTCTTGCTAGTCTTTTTAGTAGCTGTAGTAGTAGTCTTATAGTTATGCTTATAGGTGGTCTATTTAGGTGTATTTTTAGTGGTGTTTACGCTAGATAATATAGTAGGTAAGGGCATTATAGATTTAAGATATTTAGAAGAAATTAGATTCTAAATAGGTAAAAATAAGGGAAATAGTAAAACTTATATAGCTATTTGTGAAATAAACTAAATAAGATTGTAGTTATGATATATTATAGAGGAAAAAGAAAGAGGAATATATAGGGTAGTAGATATTAAAAAGAGGGGTTATGTGTATATATTTAGTAAGTAGTAAGAGTAACTAACTTATTTTTATTACTATAGTAATAGCTACCTACCTTATAAAAATTATATGATATACTAATATAGTCTATACGTCTGTATTATATAAAATTAATTTTATATTTATAATTAATTTTTCTTTTTATTATAATTAAGATAAAATATATCTAAAGTAAGGATAAATATCTCTTTAAGTATTTATTATAAAATATCTTTAATTTATATTATATAGTATACTTTAGGAAATATTATTACTACTATATATTTGCAGTTTATACCTATAATATTATTATAATAATCTATAAGGTTATTATAATAATTTTTTTTATAGGTTACCTAGTTAGATTTAGAGCTAGTGAGAAAAAAAAGGCTGCTAAAGATTATTCTACTAATCTTTATATAATGAAGGTATAGAAGTGAATTTATAATATAACTAGTGTAGAAGCTAAGTTTTGCTAATTAAAGTAGTATCTAAATATTAGGATAATATATATAAAGAAAATAATAATATAAGAATACTAAAATTAGGATTCCCTAAATAAAGCAGAGTAAGAAACTATAATTTAATAAATAAAAGTCTAAGTTTATTAAGATATATAAGTTCTCTTAAAAGAAGATACTTTAAAAATACTTATAGGAATATAGAATAGAAAGTAGCTATTATTTAGCTTAATTTAACCCTTACTTTATATTACTTATCCTAATTATACTATTATAGTTAATATCTTTACTTAATATTAAAGTTTAAGCTAACCTTAAAATATTAAGAGGATCTACTCTAAAGTTAAAGTATAAAATATAAGTATCTTTTAATAGCTTATATAAAGTATTAACTTAGCTTAAAATAAACCCTTATTAATCTTCTTTTACTTTATACTATATAAATATCTAAGGTCTAAAGATTAACTTTTATAATAGTTAACCTAAATATATTATTAAGGATAATTATGGGCTAAGCTAGGAGGATATGCCTCTATATAAACTAATAGAGTCTAAATAAGACCTCTTAGTATAGTTTATAAATAATCTTAACTTTAAGATTAATAAATAAAATAGAAGGGATATACTAAGTAAGTATCTTTAAAATAAGATAAAGGTTATCCTTAAGGTTATTTAGTATATAAGTATTTTATAATTTTTTTTTCTAAGTATTCTTATTAAGGTCTTATAGTAAACCTTAGTTATTAATTATTAATAATTCTAAGTAATATAGTTTATAATATTTAACCTATTTTAGCTAAAGCTATTATATTTCTACTAATTCCTAGAGAAAACACAGGAGATTTTTAAAGAAGCTAGTATTATAAAGCTAGGTAGGATTTTTCTATAAGTATAGGACTTCCTTATACTTAAGGAAATATTCCTTCTCTTAGTCCTTTAGAAGTTTAATACTATAATAGTTAGTAGAAAGAAAAAAAAGGTCTTATAGAAAGTACACTAAGTATAGAAATAAAAATAATAAGATACCTAAGAGAAGATATATAAGAATATAAAACCTAATAAGAGATTTTTAAGTTAATAGAATCTTAGGACTAGGTATGCATGAGTTTTAAAAGGTTATCTTATTATAAACTACACCTATAGCTAGTAATTCCTATTCTATATATTAGTATAAAAGTAGATCTAAGATATCTTTAGTAAGGTTAAGAATAATATAAAAAAGAATTAAGTTAAACTTCTTAGTCTTACTAGAATTTAGCATAATATTAGTTAGATTTATACTATTAATATAGAGGTTCTAAATATAGTTTAGTACTTCTATAAGCATAAGCTAGCCTTAATACCTCTCTAGCTTTAGATATTAGTGTTTATAAATTAATACTTTAAAGTATAAAATTAATTTAATAATAAGGTGATATTTTAAGTATTTAGTTTCTCTTTTCTCTTAAATAGATAGAGTAGATAAATAAAACTTAATAGTAATAGAAGGAATATTTATAGAAAAGTATAAGGTAGAATTTTTAATATATTATAGAAAGAAAGATATAATAATTAATATATTCCTAATACTAAGTAGTTTTAAGATTATAGGAGATTATTATAATATAATTATTATAATATAACTATTATAGAAAGCTTACCCCTTTCTATATCTATATATCTATTATAGTTCCCTTATACTTAATAATTATACTTAGGTTACCTTCCTCTTTCTAATGTTAAAGTAACCTTAACTTAAGCTTTCTAAGGGTATCTATATCTTTCTATAAAATGTAGTCCTTCTCCTCTATAAAGTTTAAGAGGTTAATAATGTTATAAACTACCTCCTTAAGATATATAATAGCTAGGGTAACCTATTTACTATCTATATATATACTTAACTTCTTAAGGTATTTATTAAGTATATTAAGCGTAATAGATTTATAATATCTAATCCTTATAACTTTAAGTTCTTCTTTTATAGCCTTAAGCTTTTTAAGTAGGAAGTTTTTACTTTTTAGATATAGAAACTTGCTTAATATCTTATTAGGTCTTATTAGTAATACTATATAAGCGAATAGCTATATTAGATTATTAGGATTACTTAATTAGGCGTTTTAAGGTAATAGTTCTCTACTTATAAATATTGATTTTACTTAGGATATTCTGATTATCTTTAGTCTAAGAAGGTGAAAGAAATAGTTTATTACTTAATAAAGGGTAATTTAGAGATCTATCTTTTTAATAAGATTAACGTAAATATTCCTCTTAAGGATAGTAGTAATTTAGGCTAAGTAATTATACTTATAGTAACTCTTAAAGCTATTAATAATACTTTAATCTATAGGTTAGAAGATTAATATTATATTAAATAAAAGAAACTTAATCTAGAGGGTAGGTAGTAGTAGCATAAGTTTAACTATAGTAATATATATAGGGAAGTTATTTATAAGGAGAAGGACTAGCTTATTAGGTTTTATAACCTAAATATAGGTATAAAAAGCTTTAAGCTAGTTTATTATAACTATAGTTATAAACTAAGCTTCCTTATTATTCCTCTATATTAAGTTAAATATAGAGAAATTAAAGCTATATAGAGTGTAAAGTATTATATTTTTACTAATAATTTAGACTTAAAAGGAGTTATTATCTATAGTATTAGTA